CTCTCTCTCTCTCTGTTACTGGTGCTGTGAGAATGATTTTAATTGGCTCATTTAACCCCTTGAGTACAATACTAATTTCCTGAATGGACTTGATGAGACTAATGAGTGTAAGACCTAACCTAACCCAACCCATCTGAACTTAACCTAACCCTCTGAGTACGTTGACTTAACCCTCTGAGTACGTTAACCTAACCCTCTGAGTACGTTGACTTAACCCTCTGAGTACGTTAACCTAACCCTCTGAGTACGTTAACCTAACCCTCTGAGTACGTTAACCTAACCCTCTGAGTACGTTAACCTAACCCTCTGAGTACGTTAACCTAACCCTCTGAGTACGTTGACTTAACCCTCCGAGTACGATGACTTAACCTTCAGAGTACGATGACTTAACCTTCAGAGTACGTTAACCCAACCTCTGAGCAAGTTAACCCAACCCATCTGGAACTTAACCTAACCCTCTGAGCACGTTAACCCAACCCATCTGAACTTAACCTAACCCTCTGAGTCGTTGACTTAACCCTCCGAGTACGATGACTTCAACCTCAGAGTACGATGACTTAACCTTCCGAGCACGTTAACCTAATCCTCTGAGTACGTTAACCTAACCCATCTGAACTTAACCTAACCCTCTGAGTACGTTAACCTAACCCATCTGAACTTAACCTAACCTCTGAGTAATGCTGACTTAACCCTCCGGAGTACGATGACTTAACTTCGAGTACGATGACTTAACCTTCCGAGCACGTTAACCTAACCCTCTGAGTACGTTAACTCAACCCATCTGAACTTAACCTAACCCTCTGAGTACGTTAACCCAACCCATCTGAACTTAACCTAACCCTCTGAGTACGTTGACTTAACCCTCTGAGTACGTTAACCTAACCCTCCGAGTACGATGACTTAACCTTTCAGAGTACGATGACCTAACCTTCAGAGTACGATGACCTAACTCCTGAATACGATATTGTGCTAGAGGATTAAGAGGGGGGGAATTCCAACACCAGAAGAATGGGAATAAGGTAGACAAGTAGATGGAGAGTAGATAAAGTAGACAGGTAGATGGAGAGTAGATAAGGTAGACAAGTAGATGTATTCTCTCAGTAAACAAGATAAGAGGCGTTATCTCTGACGCTTGTGAATAGTCGACTTGGAGTTTGTTCCTTAGACCCGCACTGTCGTTAAGATAGGGAGGAGGAGGAGGGAGAGAAAGGAGGGGGGGGGTGGAGAGGGAGGGGAGGAGGAGAGGGAGAGAATGGAGGGGGGGTGAGAGAGGAGGCGAGAGAGGGAGAGAAAGGGAGGGGGGTGAGAGAGGGAGAGAAAGGAGGGAGGGGAGAGGGAGGAGGAGAGAGGGGAGAAAGGTAAGGTGTGTGGGAAGAGGAGGGGTGAGGTAGGGGAGGAAGATGAGGGAGAGACAAGATAGGGAGAAAAAAAGAGGAAAGGGAATGGAAGAGATTAAATAAAACGGGAGGGAAGGGAAGGGTGAGAGACGAACGAAATGAAGTAAAAGGGAAGAAAAAGGGAGGGAACTTAAGGAAGAGGAGTACTGTAGGAAGGAGTGAGGGAAGAAAGAAGGGAGGAGGGGAAGGTAAGGAAGATTAAGAAGGAGACGGAGAGAAAGAAGAGAAAACAACACTAGTATAGTACCGGTATGCGTCTCTTCCTGGTGGGCTTGGCTTGACCTCTGTTGGAACTAGTTAATTACTGGACCAGGAACCAAGTCTAACCTAACCTAACGAAACCTAACCTAGCCCAACTAAAGTTAACGTAACCTAACGTAACCTAACCTAAATCTACCTAACCTAACTTAACTTAAATCTAACCTAACCTAACCTAACTTAACTTCTGGCCGGCCTCATCACACATGTCTAGTGATAGCGATGGGCCTCTCTCTCTCTCTCTCTCTCTCTCTCTCTCTCTCTCTCTCTCTCTCTCAGCTGCAAGACGCCAAGATAATTTCATGTTTTCTTGGTATTTCCCCTCTTCGTTATGCCCCTATGAGGCTGCTGGTTATGTTGCAACTGTGGGATTACTAACGCTGGCTCTGGTCTTGTAAATACCAGTATATACAAAGGCACGGAGAGGATTTTACGTATGTTATTATCTTTAGTTCTTTTATTTTATTTTTTGGTCTGGTATGGTTAGGTTATGCTTGGTTTGGTATGGTTAGGTTATGCTTGGTTTGGTATGGTTAGGTTATGCTTGGTTTGGTATGGTTAGGTTATGCTTGGTTTGGTATGGTTAGGTTATGTTTGGTTTGGTATGGTTAGGTTATGCTTGGTTTGGTATGGTTAGGTTATGCTTGGTTTGGTATGGTTAAGTTTTGTTTGGTTAGGTTAGTTAGGTCAGAGTAAGGTTAGGTTAAGTTAGATAGTATAGTTATTTTTTTAAGGAACAAGTTAAAACTCCAGGTCTATAATTAACAATAATGATTCATTCTCTCAACTCTTGATATTTCGACCCCGTGTTGTGAGATAAAGACCATGAATAATATATATTTTAATAAGTACCGGGGGGGGGCTTGGTGCTGTTGTTGTTGTTGTTCACGTGTCATAAGAGGGTCTAAAGTCCATCTGTTGTTGTGATAGTAATGTAGGTTAACGAGATGACCCAGTTGACCTTTGACATGGACTTTAGAACAGGCAATAACAAGACTATAATTAAAGTGAATGGAGGATTAATTACTTCGAGTCCAGATTTATTTGTGAAATGTGTGGTTGGTCAGTTAAATAGTATGGGTGTTAACGGTGTGAATATATGTGATGTCTCTGCAGGAACACTGATATATAACGTAGTCTTAGAAGCCCCAGGTATAGTGTTTTTGGGGACAGGTAACCTTATCAATCAGTATATAGTATAGGAGGCGCCAAACATTTCCGTGTTTAAAAGTTTTAGGCAACAAAGTTCAATGAATCAACTATTTTTTAGTATACGATTAGATCTTCTCAATTGTAGTGGGACTTATCTTATGATTTTTGTACAGCTACTATGATTATGCACTTAAGACGTATTTATACTTGTGAGCTACCATGATTTTGTGTAAGATGGGTGATGTATATCTTCACTAGAGCTGTGTATTGAAGTGTATATCATGTAACCTGGAAAAAAATTTATATAATATTGTTAAAACTACGTTATACAGGCTGTCAAAGGGCTCAGTTATCTAAAATTCGACCAGTTTACAAGCGGCCATTCCGTTCTCCTGCCTCACACCTCTATCAATAAGCTAGTGAACATCCGCGGAGCAACACACGTATTTTAAATTAATCATTTCTACCCAGTAACAATTTATTCTGGTGCGATAGAATCTTTTTTTTTTTAATTATCTCTCATATTTCTTCTTTGTTTACTAGGATTAATTGTCTATTCATCGTGACTGGGTAAGAGAGTTGCAAAGGTTTTAGGTTAGGCTATACTATGGACCTTGAGCCAGACGCTATATGATAAGAGATGTTTATGCTGAATCGAGTGTATCTATATGATAAGCGGAGGTTATCAAAAGGACTCGTCTCTCTCTCTTGATCCTTGTTACCTCCCTCTTATCTCTTTATTACTCACGGTCTTCATGCCACAAAAAGTAAGGTCTTGTGTTTACTTAATGCTCAGTATAGCGAACAGTTCCTGCATTTAACGAGAGTTATTTTTACTGTTTTGAGTCCAACTTAAACCTCATCTGAGTATAAATGTCATCGACCTCAAGTGAATAGGTCATCGGATGTCGTACTCAAAGGATGACGTCATTGTGGTCAAGAGGTCAAGTCATCGTACTCT